TGTTTAGGCCTTAGGCTTTAGGTAGTTGGAGTATAAAAAAAATTGACATCAATATGATGTGCTTGTGCTAGCTGGGGGCGTGGTATTTTTTATATCTCGGAATACAAAAAAACAGGGTACACCTTCAGCGTTTATGACGAGTTTCCACCAAAATGAAACTCGTCATGGAGGAAGTGCAGACTAACACCCACTTTGAAAAGTTTATGCCCAAGTGACGTTATTTTGACTCTACTGTGACATCTGTATTAACTCTCTCTAATTCAGTACTACACTTCCATTTATTGAAAAACTTGCTGTCGAAGTCGTACGTTCTTCAACTTGATTTTTTGTCTATGAGCTAGTCTTACATCAAGAATGAAACGATACCGAAATTTTATTAACAAGTAATAAAAAAAAATTTATTTGTTGGGCGACCCTGCAGCTGAATACATTCCTGTGTACTTCTAGGCATCGACAAAAATGAGATGATCGATGTCTGGTTGTGGCACCTCATTCCAAGCAACTCGAACTTCCTGGATTCTGTGGCAGAGTCTGTGGCGGATGATGCAAGGTTGATCATATACCACACTTGTTCGATGGGATTTAAATCCGGTGAACGGGGTGGCCACTGCAAAGCATTAACGCCTGCTTCTTGCACGACGAGAAATATGGGGTGTGCCTTGTCTTGCTGAAGAAGGACGTGCGGACGGTAGTATAGATACGGCAGTAAAGTGGCTTGAGGAAATCATAAACATTGCATAACGCGCAGCAGACATTGCTCTCAGCAAAGAGAAAGGGTGATCGGCTACCATAGGCAATTGTCCCCCAAACCATTATTCCAACAGTCCTGTGTACATGCTTCTCCACAGCAAATCCAATAACTCACCGTTCTCCACGGCGGCATCTTACCCTTCCATGACCATCGTGCGTACCTGGCCAGAATCGCGGTTCGTCGCTGAAGATGACATTATGCTATTCTGCCTCCCAATGTTGCCGTTCTCTGCTCCAGTTCAAACGTTAACGACAGCAGGGCTACCTGTGAAGCGCCTATCTTGAAGCCCTGTGGTACGCCTCGGTGGACCAGTTGGCCTCCTACGTGTTCCTCTGCCTTCTTCTATCCACACACGACACACACGAATTACCGTCATCGCGGTACAATTAACCAATTTCCAATTTCGCGATAGGACAAACCAACATCTCGATAGGCAATTATTCTACCGCTGTCGCTAACCTGGTGATAATTTGGACATCTTCGGACTCTAGACATTTTTAAAAGAAAGGGCAATAACTAAAAATATCTGTACTACTCAGTTCTCAGAAACTGCTTTCTCCACAAAAACTAGAGATAACATTTTAACAAAGGTAAACAGAAACAAAGATAAAACGTTGACTTTGTTGCTACGGCATGCTTTAAATATAGTCATTATGATGCCAAAAAACAAGAAAATACTTTAATGTCACTGAGCATACATCCTTGTTCACCGTTACTGTTTTACTATTTCCTAATTTATAACCAAATCTGGGACAAAATAATTTGGCCCTACGAGTTATGTTACCCCGTAGTCACACTTCCCGAGTGGTATCGCTTGAGCATCGTTTCTCAAGCGTGAGATATTGATCACTTCTTCTTAGCTGTGTGTCATTCCCTCACAACAAAGCGATACGGACGTGAAGCAAACATATCTTTAAGTTTTCTAGAGAATGCCAGTGAAAAGATATCTCCTAGAAATATGGAGCACTCGGATTTCATTTCAACACTAAGGTAATACTGGTAATATATTTGATTAAAAAAATGTTCAAACACTGAAAAATCACTACTTGATCCACTTTGAATCCAGCAGAGTAGGTCAAATTGCAAATTTGACCCTAGGAGATATAGAACCTCTCCCTAGCCAGGATCCTTAAGTGGCACCACTTTGCAAAAGTGAGGTATTAGTCAGGACTCATTCTGTGATGGAGTTTGATTCCCGTATAAAAAAGTGGAGCGGCCGAAATAAGCACGCTCGGCGGGACCCTATTTCCAGTTATCCTGGAAAATGTCCCGACAAATGCAGCCGACTTATTCAGATGCAGCTCGGCGGGTTTTGACTCAACACATGGATAGTATCGGCGACAAACTAAGGCCAATGTATGACAGACGAACTGATAGAAACGACTGAATACATCAAAACACAGAACATCACGAATTTGTACCTCCAGTACCAGTTGAGCACCACTTCGTAAATTGATTGATGAGTACTCTTTCCAATCCAAGTCTCGCTACGGTAAAACAAATAGTGTAGGATTTGGTGGATTTCTGGGTCTTAATTACCCAACTATTTGGTGAAGATATAGTTTCTATCCGAATATGCAGAAAAATTCAAAGGGGTAATTTCAAACTATCTGATAAGCGACTCTGTGAGCGACCTTCATTAGTCGACAACGATATTGCCAAGAACAACAGCAATATCCTTTTTGAATAGCAGTTTGGAGGCTCAGTTCAGTTGCATAATCGACTTCGGGACTTATTTTGCCAGTAGAGCACTATATTATTTATTAAAGCTTATCCAAGGTATGTTTTGATACAACCATTGGTTAAGGTATTCTACGTAAAGAAAGTAAACCTAATACAACAAATTATCCTGTAAAAAATAAGATAGGAACGTAGCGTTACCTATGAGAATTTGTCACTGCTGAGCATATAGAACAAGCATGAATAAGAATACAGCGCCATCTATGAGACAATAGACAAACTGTTTTGAATAATTCTCGTAGATGAAGCTCAGGTATCTACGCATTCTATCTTTATCCTATTCTCTTCTATCTTCAGGGAAAAAACGTCAAGTAATGACAGAACTAATCCTAATCCTAATCCATACAAGCTTGCATGAATTAATGACAATTGTTCTCGCTGCTGTGTATGAGAAATAAGAATACTGATGAGCACTTCTTGCGAGTCAGCCTACTTGACTCAATATTTTAGGTATCGGACCTCCCTTTAGAAATTTTAAATTTTTCACTATATATACCGTATTCGCTCAATGGAATCCCCGTAAGCCTATTACCAGCGTCCCGTCCGTAATTCGATGAAAATTAGAGCGCAGGGTTGGGGGTGCATGATGCGATTTAGCTAATGTTCTGTTGACATTCTATACGGCTCATAATTTTCCATGACAAATTGGTGGGAAAGGCGGATTCTGTATGGTGTTCATGGAAAAATGGGAGCGCAGCATGAATAGAAATTGCGGTAAGGGGTGAGCTGATGATAACGGATCTGATGAATACATTATTTTCTGCACAAAGTTCAACCCTACCTTATTTTGTATTCTATACGCGATGAGTATCAGAAACTACATTAGTTGTTTGGAAAGCCCCTTCTAAGAGATTTGTTCTACATGCACGTTACCATAGAAACCAATGATATATCGGTCAGCTGCACACATTACGATCGACATTGAATTGAAAGCAAAAGCCAAGCGAGTTTGTCGAGCAGGCTCAAAATGTGGAGTCATTATGGAAGAAAATAGGATAAGTATTCTTGTTTTCAGAAACGTTCCCCGCTTCCAACGCTATAAGTGAATATGGTGCTGTTTACTTTGCTTTAGATTTGCTTGTTGGTTTGAGAGCGCTGAGTATTTGTTTTTTTTTTGTGGAATGGAGAGCTTGAATATCCATTCCCAGGCAAAAAATCTCCACAGCGTTGTCGTGTTGTGTTTGCCTTTTTTTGCCTGAAGTGTGAGAATCCCCAGAACCTGTGGGTATTATTTTACCACCACAGTTCTTGACTAAAACAACTATGAAGGAGAAAATATTTTTCCGAAGCGTCGGCAATTTGATAACAGAAAACTGTATTTCTATAGTCCATAAATCCAATAAGCTACAAATAACCCCACCATGATAACGCTTGAAACCTTCTATCATGGTGATTAGTATTGAGTTAAATATTTTTATACCAAAGGTATTAGTCATCCTATTCACATCGTCGTACATTCGTACCTGTGTACATGTACAGGCCAGCAAGTAGAAACTGGTACCTTGGCCTGTTTATCATCTGCCCTCGCTTACATGCCTGGCGAAGTTGTCAGCAGCGACCCTCTCACCCAGGGTCAATTCTAGATGCCTCTGGTAGTCAACCTGAGTGGATGTATCTTCCACGTCGCTGCAATATAAGCAGTTCGCGTACTCTCTCTTTCCTACGCTTTCAGGGCAGCTGTCAAAGCAGCCATATCCTGTGAGAAACCTTGTAGTATAGTAATCTATCCACACTGCTCCCTTGCCAATTCAGGTTTTAACACCCGCCGCCGCCTTCTAGACCATGCACCAAGGATGTGAATCCTTACTTAGGTCATCGACTGCTGATGGACGACGTCTGGAACTACGTATCGTACCGCATTAAGTATGAATAGTGAAGTCTGGAGAATGGCTCCCCAGGCATAAGAGCAATCCTGCAGGCACGGTCTTATCAAAGCTTTGCACAGAATGAGGCAACTGAAAAGTGCTTTCTAGCTCTAAACAGATAATCCAGATTTGTTCGAACAATGACTGATGGCCATGCCAAATCTAAATAATCATATGTTTCTTTAACATTGACTGCAACAAATTTAAATTATTGGGTTTCAGGTAGGTTTTAGTTGGACGGCTGTCACTAATCAGGATACTAAACCATTCAATATTGAACTGTGCCATAGGCAGTGCTAACCTGTAGGTCTTTTGTCACGTTACGTTTCTTCTCATAAATCAGCTTGCCACTCTCTATAACCGCATCTGAGAGTATTGATCCGTATTATCTGCCCCGTACCCATTTGCAGAAAAGCTATATATTTAGTTTCTATTTTTATTTTTATACATAAGTCCTACGAACATCAACACACTTCTTCCAACGGTGATCCAGCATTTCAATAGCTTCCTAGTAAACATTTTTCCTGCAAATGTCCTTTTACTTTAAGCGATGCATTGGTCATGCTGCAAAAAAATACAAGTGTGTGTCTGAGCTATACATCACCTTCCTTAAGTATTTATAATAGCTCCTTTTCGTAGAGAAGACGCCGACAAAGAAAAAGGGCTTCTTCGGCAATTTACGTGCAAGAAGATCTTTGGAGGCGGAAAGAGAGCCACCAGGGGGGAGGATGGCAGCAAGCGAGCCACCACTTAAGGACCTCACGCACCCAGCGTACAACGAACACCTTAAAGTACACAATGGGGTCACCTTCAAGCTCGTTCGGACTGGTGAGTTACCGTTTATATCCTACCCTTATATCTGCGCTAGTCTAAACCCGTGGCTCTGTCCGCGCGGAGGGAGTATAAAGTATAGGTTCGTTTTGCATTACTATGAAGAAAATTTGTTTTGGAGAAACAAACGCAATATTCAAAGTAATACAATAGTCACTTTGGCAATCACCATATATCACCAGACTTCGAAGTTGAGTCATTTATTTTAACAGTGAGTAGATCTGATTAAAAGAAATGTTTTTTTCCTTTAACATTTTTCTGGTAAAATTAAAGTAACAAAGTTATAGCCCTTTAGAAGTTTGAGTACCGCCCTGTATCAATAATATTATATGCTCATGTTTGGCAACAACGGATATAATCCGTCTTATCAGTTCATCGCATCGGAAACAAAAAAGCGAAAGAATTTGAAACGTTTATCACGATGTCAGTCAATGTTTCAGTCGGTAACGCGTGAGTAAATAGTGGTGTTTGTTGCGTGGCTCAAACGAAATAAAAAATGGCACATGTTTACGAAAATCCTGAACTTGTGAACTTGTGGACATGATTCTTATTTAATCGAGTGCAACCAACCCCTCGTGCCTTTGTTAATGTAGTACAAAGGGCTCGTGAATCAGGTGACTTAAGACCTCACAGGGGAGAGCATGCCGGTGCTCCAAGACCGCACGAACAAATACAGGTCCGCACTGAAATACCTTTCGGGAGGATACTTTATAAAACAAGGTAACATTTTTTTTAATTTTTTTTTATTTTTACACATATATTTTGGTTTATCTACCTTCTACAATCATTATCTGAAAATTAATGACTCAACTTCAAAGTCACCCTGTATAATACGTGCAGTATCTCACATCCTGTCTAGCATATCTTAACGTGTATGCTGAGGGATAAGACAACATGAAGCGCCATCTACCACTATGGCAGCCTACCCTTTGGGATGGTATAGATCTCAGTCTGCGAGTGGAGGGCCAGTCACCATGTGATCGCTATATGGCGATGATTCTAATTGTGGAGTAGATGTGGTCTGCTTGCCATTCAACAAAGATAGATCACATACCTTGTATAATGTATAGCGGCTATGGTTTCGTTCGTTGACCGAGAGACCCTCCATGCTGAGGAGTAGCCAAAAAGCACAAAACAGGTGTGTTTTGTCGGATGGATGAAAGCAAAACATGTTTATTTTTTGCTGGAATCGTTGCCTTCTGGCAGTCACGTGGTGGCTCGACCTCCAATTTCGCGAACTAAGATCTAGGCAGTCCCAACCAGTATAGCTATTTCGCAGTGATCGATTCTACCAGTAGCCGTCTTATTTCGATAGATCACACACTTTGTATAGTGTACGAATGCTATGCTTTCGTTCATTGTCCGAGCTACCCAAGCCTAGACCATGCTGAGGAATAGCCATCCATGGCTGGCTGCCTTCAGTTAAAACGACAAAATCAGAGCATACTCATTATTACGTATGATCAGTAGAGTAATGTAACAATAATTGTAAGTATAGTTGTCCATTGACTTATGATTTCAAAGCATTTTGGTATACAAAGTTATCTGTTGCATTATCTGTAGCGAGAATGCATATATTTTCGCACTTGAGCGAGCAACGTATGACTTTAGAAATCAAGTTTGTAAATTCAAACAGCAACCAACATTTGCAACAGCAGATTCGTGTAGCGCCTGAGACTTTACATCAAAGTACTTATTCATACGGGAGATCAAGCTGCCATAAGTGATCTAGTCACTATGACTAACTTTTGAAAAGTACAGGAACAGATAAACTAGAAAACCAGGCATGCTTATTTCGAGGAGATATTATTTTAGCTCGTTTCCTACTTTCTATTACTACAGTAATATAATTGTCTTTTAATTGTTCAGTATTTGGACCCGAATCCGGACACCTGTACGAGTATATTGGTTTCGGTTGTCATGAAGTATTCCGATATTAATAAAATATAATCGTAATTTGGCGCCATCAATGAATTGTGATATCCATAAAGTATTTCAGCACCTTTTTATGAGGCAGCGGCATGCAAAAAATAAATAAAATCCGCTTTTGGCACCCTACCGAGCCAAGGTTAGTTCATTGCGTGCCAACTAACTTTTAATTATTACTACTTGTATGTTAGATCCTATGTAAGCGTAGCGATAGCTTGAACTGTAGTACGAATATATGTAGAATATTCATATCAAAACATGAAACAATACAAGTCTTTGGGATTAATATAGATATAGACTATAAAATAGGGATAATAACTCAAGATGTCATTTATCTATATTTCTAGAACCTTTACTTAAATTGCCATCTTGTTATTCCATTATATTCTGTGATGCTGAAAGGATGAATACCGATGCTGAAACAAGCTGGTTAATCTGACTTTTGCACTGCCTAAGTGGAAGTTGAGAATAAGAAGAAGCCTCCTATATCGAGTTGTCTCACGTCCCTTGTATGCTTGGAATTAATAAGCAGTCGCACCGACCAGCCCAACAATTTTGTATCTACAGTTCTGAACTCAACGGCATCGTAGAACCCGAGGAAGCAAAGTCCATTAGTTTATTGATAGGAGGGAATCCGCACACCAAATGATCAGTAGGGTGGCGGTGTTCTATGTCGCTTCAAGATGGGCTTCATAGATGAAACAGTATCCCTAACATGTGATCAGTATTCCAGTTCGAATTTCATAAGATCTTTCTACAGAATAAGGAGATTAACATACTTTCTACGTATCTTCCTTCCGGCGGCTGCCTTGATTCACGATATGTGATTATGATTATGCCAATGGATTTCTTTCTGTTACGTGAACTACGACAAATCATAACTAATGTCTGTCTGAAGAAAACGTGATCAGATGTACTCCACATGGTGGTTTTTTAAGTAGGTCTTAGTTAATATTTGTTCTATGAGACCAAAGAAATCAAAAATATACAGGGTGTTCCTTAATGACTTGCGAATATTTAAGGGTGTGAATTTACATGAAAAATTAATGTTAATTTGCTTTATAAACTATGGTCCAAAAATGTTTCCTTACAAAAACTCGGGGTGTTGAAGTTTTAGGAAAAAAATGGAAATTAATTAATATTTTCAGAACCGCTTCAGCTATTTCACTGATATTTAGTACGTAGAGAAAGTTAATAAAGCTGCATATTTTTCAGTGCAAAAATAATTTTTAGCTTTAGCAGTGGCGTGTGTACGGGTATTGACTTTGACATTTCTTAAGAAAAAAGTATTACGCCAATGGTTTTTTGCCAAATACAAATTATCTTTGAATTTCCCGTTCAATTTAAAAGAAATCATCTCTCTTTGTGAGCAAAAAAATAAAAACCGTTCTATTGTCCGAGAAAATTAATGTGATAATTGAAGAATGCAATTTAGCAATAAATATCCAGTTGCTCTGAAATATGTAACTGGCTTTTGACATCTGACAAGTCTCTGTTATTCAAATCTGTCCGCTGTGACAACTTTTTCATTACATATTTAGTTTTTATAGTATTGTTAATTGTCGTGATTTATTCAAATGCAGAAATAGCGGAAATAAATTACGTATATGGCCTTGCCGACGGTAATGGTGAGCAAGCCAGACGGATTTATCACCAGAGATATCCCGATCGTGCTTTGCCAGATAATCGAACCTTTTCTAATATTCATCGTCGTCTTGTTGAAACTGGTTCTGTCCGAAAAGGAACATCTGAAGGTAGACCTCTAAGTGTGAGAACACCTGAAATTGAGGAAGCAGTGCTGCACGAAGTCGATGAACATCCTGAAACGAGTACGAAGGAGATCGCTAGACACTTAAATATTTGCCATCAAATTGTTTGGAGAATTTTAGTGGATTTTTTATTATATCCTTACCATATTTTAAGGGTACAGGCACTACTTCCCATTGATTTTCCAAGGCGTGTGACCTTTTGTCATTTTGCCATTCAGGATTTCCACAATAATCATTTGTAGGCAAAAGAAAATCCCTATGCCGTAACCGAAACTTATTTCCAATACCAATTTTCGGTTAACGTTTGGGCAGGAATTATTGGCAACCACTTTATTGGCCCATTCTTCTTGCCGGACAGACTTACCTCATTTTTCTTCAACAACAGTTGGCTTTGCTGCTTGCTGATGTTCCGTTAATAATAAGAAACAATACGTGGTACATGCATGATGGTGCACCAGCGCATTTCAGTGTAGCGATTCGTAATTATTTACAAACTGTTTATCCAAATCGTTGGATTGACCGCGGTGGGCCCCAAAAATGGCCCCCAAGGTCCCCAGACCTCAACAGTTTAGATTTCTATTTGTGGGGCTATCTTAAGACACTAGTGTATACAAGTCCCATTAGCACTGCAGAGGAATTAAGAGAAAGAATAGTTGCAGCTTGTGATAGAATAAAAAACACTCCAGGGATATTTCAACGATTGCGCAATTCCATGAGAAGGAGGGCGGAAGCATGCATACTAATTGAAGGAGGCCATTTTCAACAATTTTTGTAATCATTTCGTTGGTTTCAATGATATGTTTATGTTGTCAGTTGTTGTTGTTTATTACACCTAATGTGTTTATTTTTTCCAATTAAATTAATAATTTTGCAAGTTAGACAATAGAACGGTTTTTATTTTTTTACGCAAATATGGCGCATCGTAGGAAAACAATTCAAGAGAGATAATTTGTTTTAAATTGAACGGGGACTTCAAAAATAATTTTTATTTGTCAACAAACTATTGACGTATCATTTTTTTCTTAAAAAATATCGAAGTCTTATTAACTTTCACTACGTACTAAATATCGGTTCTGAAAATATTAATTATTTTTTCTAGAACTCCAAGACCCTGAGTTTTTGTAAGGAAACATTTTTTGACCATAGTTTATAAAGCAAACTATACATTAATTTTTCATGTAGATTCACACCCTTAAATATTCGCATATCATTTTCGGACCTAAGAGACAGTAAAACTTTAATCTTTTCCTCAGACAAGCGAAAACGCTGTCTGCAATGTGGGGCCCATATTAATATGCTCCTACGTGATACCATTTGTA